AGTGTGTGGAAGGGAGAAGGAAGAGGAAGAAAAATAGGGAGACAGAGGAGTGTGAAGTGGGGAGAAGGTCTAAGAAGAGATGAAGGAGAAGAATAGGAGAAAGAGAGAGAGAGGATGTGGAGGGAGAGGAGAGAGGAAGAAATAGGGGAGACAGTGAGTAGTGGTGGAGGAAAGGTCTAAGAGAGAGAGAGAGGTCGTCATGGTACTGCTTGTCTGGATTAGGCCATCAATCATATCTATCATCAATCTATCCGCCACATGTCCGTTGTTTGTAAATAAATAATTTCCACACAAACTAAACGTCATACACTAAGTCTTTTACCACAGGGCATCGTCACTGTGGTGAAACATTCATATGCATGTATGCATTATTATTGTGGTATATTATTTGTGTGTATGACAATAAAGTACAATTCTGGCGACAAGGATGGCAGGGGGGGTAGCGGGGGAGGGAGGGAATGAGGTTCCATGTCCAGTAACTCTATACTTCTCACCGCCACCACCTGCTGAGATTACCAACACATGTTTAAGGCACCCCCTCCTCCTCCTCCTCCTCCTCCTTCTCATGATCCTCCTTCTGATTGGGGTCTTCTTCCATTGTTTTACCTTCTTCTGTTTATTAATGTATACTATGATTTTAGTTCTTCTTCGTCTTCTTGTATTTGTGTGTGTGCATGCTATGATACGTGTACATGTATATGTGTATGTATATACGTATATGTATGTATATGTGTGTGTGTGTGTGTTTTACATATATGTATATATACTGTCAATGAATATGGTGCAACTCTTTGTGTGCTGAACCTCTGTCCTGCATGGCAGTGAACAGTGACATTATCCATATGAATCTGACCTCTATACATTTTATAGTTGTTAATGAATATGATGTATTTCTTTGTGAACCTCTGTCCTGCGTGACGGTGGTGATACCACCCTCAGTGTCAAGACCTGACTGGATTACTCCAGAATGGGCAAACTGTACCACAAGCTCTGCCAATAAATTTGTTAAACTAACTAAACTTCTTCGTCTTCTTCTTCTTCACTTCCTTCTTCTTCTTCTTCTTCTTCTTCTTCTTCTTCTTCTTCTTCTTCTTCTTTTCTTCTTTCTTCTCATTATTATTTTTATTATTATTCTCCGTGTATTATTATTATTATTATTATTGTGTGTGTATTGTGTATGTGTGTATTATTATTATTATTATTATTATTATTATTAATTTTCTCTGTATTATTATTTTTTCTTATTATTATTATTTTTCTTATTCTTATTCTAATTTTCCTATTATTATTATTCTCCTCCTCCTCTCTTTTACGTTCTCTATTTTTTTTGCATGTGATATTCTCTGTTTCTCTCTCATTCTCCATTTTTATCTCTTTCTCTTGAAATATCAACGTTGTGATTGTATGTCCAAGATTGCTATTGTCTGTTTCCCTCTCTCTCTCTCTCTCTCTCTGTTCCTCTCCTTTATCATGTTTCTTTCTCTCTCATCTTTCATTCCCTCCTGAACTTCCTATCAATTTGGTCTCGGTTAGTTGTATCACGTTTCGGTTCTGTCTTCCTTTCTTATATTCTGTTCATTTGTTAATTTTATTTGTTTTGTTTGCTTCCTTTCTTTCTTTTCTATCTTTCTTTCTTTTCTTCATCATCTATTTTTTATTTTTTATCCTCCTCCTCCTCCTCCTCCTCCTCCTCTTCTTCCCTCCTCCCTCCTCTCCTCTTCCCCTCCTCCCCTCCTCCTCCTCTTCCCCCTCCTCCTCCCTCCTCCTCCCCCCTCCTCTCCTCCCCTCCTCCTCCTCTTTCCCCTCCTCCTCCTCCTCCCCTCCTCCTCCCTCCTCCTCCTCCTCCTCCCCTCCTCTCCCTCCCTCCTCCTCCCTCTTCCCCTCCTCCTCTCCTCCTCCTCCTCTCCTCCTCCTCCTCTCCTCCTCCCCTCCTCTTCCCCTCCCTCCCCTCCTCCTCCTCCCTCCCTCCTCTCCTCCTCCCTCCTCCTCTCCTCCCTCCTCTCCTCTTCCCCCCCTCCCCCTCCCTCCTCCTCCCTCCTCCCCTCCCCTCTTCCCCTCCTCCCTCCTCCTCCTCCCTCCTCCTCCCTCCTCCTCCTCCTCTCCCTCCCTCCCCTCCCTCTCCCTCCTCTTCCCCTCCCCTCCTCCTCTCCTCCCCTCCCTCTCCTCTCCCTCCCCTTTCCCCCTCCCCACCTCCTCCCTTCCCCCCTCCCCTCCTCCTCCTCCTCCCTCCTCCTCTTCCCCCTCCCTCCTCCCTCCCCTCCCTCCCTCCCTCCTCCTCCCTCCTCCTCCCCCCCTTCCCTCCTCCTCCTCCTCCTCCCCTCCCCTCTCCCCTCCTCTCCTCTCCCCTCCTCTCCTCCTCCCTCCCTCTCCTCCCCTCTTCCCCCCCCCCCCTCCTCCTCTTCCCCTCCTCCTCCTCCTCCTCCCCTCCTCTCCTCCTCCTCCTCCCTCCTCCCTCCTCCTCCTCCTTCTTTCCCTCTCCTCCTCCTCCTCCTCCCTCTTCCCCCTCCCTCCTCTCCTCTTCCCCCCCCCTCCTCCTCTTCCCCTCCCTTCTTCCTCTTCCTCCTCTTTCTCTTGCCTCTTATTGTTTTAAATGCAAGAAGCGGTTTCTTACCATGTAGACTCAGATACCTTCACTGCTGGTTACTCACCCGGGAGGTTATTGGGTGTATCACTATGTAGAATTTCACTCTGCTTCCGGCATTCAATGCGTTATGTACTTGATAAATGATGATTTATGAGTTCGTTAATTTCCAACATCCATCTAAGGTATTGATTATTTTCTTATAACAATCAGTCATTACCCTGGTAATAATAATAATAGAGGGTCCAGTACTGAACGAATAATTGCACTTCGTTTATTTGGCACAATTCCATACACTGGACTTATAATTTGCGTGGATAGGCCAGTCACTCATTCACGCACAGTACAGTAAGTTATAAGGAGGTTGTCAACCTGGAGAATTAATCGTTGAGTCTATTAGGCCGGCCTGGGAGTGCTCTTGTAAACAGGCCTCACCAGTGATCACTTCCTACTACAGGATGTGTTAACTTGTCGCTGGACTTAACAACAATCTGGGATTTTGCACAGCAGAGACTCGTACAGCATGGTGGGACTGTGTGGCCCTGTTCTAGTCCGTGGGGCAGGAGGTCTCTCTCCAAGGTCTAAAACCCCACTGACTAAAATGTGGTTTTTGAGGCGTGATGATGATCAGTACAACACTGTCTCACTGGCCTCCCCATCGTCTGGCCGGGTGCTTATCTCTCTAAACAAGCATTTGGGATGGGTTGTGCAGGAGGCCAACACAACCCATGACACCTCTTCCTTAATCATCCTTATCTTTTCTTTTCCCTCTCATCTGTTCTCCTTCTCTCCTTCCTTCTTCTCCTCTCCCTCCCTTTTATTAATTTATCTCTGGAATTAACTTGTATTTCTTGCGTTATCTCTCTCTCTCTCTCTCTCTTCATTTACTCACCTACTAACTCCTTTCTTCCCTCTCATATTTATCCCTGTTTTCTTTCTCCCTCTGTTTATTCGTCTCTTCTCTCACCTGGTCTTCGTTATCAGTTACCCTCCTCTCGTAATCTGTCTGTCTGTCTGTCTGTATTTCTGACTGTCTCTGCCTTCTGCCTGTCTGTTTGTTTGTTTTTCTGTCTCTATCTCTGTCTGTCTGCTTTTTTTTGTCTTTCATACCTGTCTGTTTTTCCTATCTATTTATATGCCTGTCTTTCTGTTTCTGTCTTTGTGGCTGTCTGTCTGTCTGAACCTTTGTATCTCCTCCTCTCCTCTCTCCCTCTCTCTCTCTCTCTCTCTCTCCTCTCTCTCTCTCTCTCTCTCTCTCTCTCCAGTATCATATTCCCCGTTTCTTTGTTCTCCTTCCAATACTCTCTGCGTCTTTGTATTCTCTCTCTCCTTTTACTTTCTCCTTATTTATTCTGTATTCTTCTCTATGTCTTTTTCACTATTATTCCTCCTTATTTTTTTGTTTGGGTTATTTTTCTTGTTTTGTTTTTTTTCCTTTTAAGTTTGTTTTGTTTCCTTCTGATATGTTTATTTTTTTTTGTTGTTGTTGTTTTTTGTTGTTTGTTGTTGTTGTTATTTGTTGTTGTTGTTTTTTTTGTTGTTTTTGTTTTTTATTTGTTATTTATTTATTGTTGTTGTTGTTGTTGTTGTTGTTTGTTTTATTGTTTTTGATGTTTTTTTTATTTGTTGTTGTTGTTGTTTTTATTTGTTTTTTGTTATTGTTGTTTTTGTTGTTGTTGTTTCTGTATTTGTTGTCGTTGGTTTTGTTGTTATAATTTTCCTACAGTCATAGCAACCAACAGTCCCAGCAACCAACAGTCCTAGCAACCAACAGTCCTAGCAACCAACAGTCCCAGCAACCAACAGTCCCTAGCAACAACGATTCACAACCAACAGTCCTAGCAACCAACGATTCCAGCAACCAACAGTCATAGCAACAGTCATAGCAAGCAACAGTCTTAGCAACAACAGTCATAGCAACCAACAGTCAGCAGCCAACAGTCCCAGCAACCAACAGTCAGCAACCAACAGTCTAGCAACCAACGGTCCAACCCATCAGCAACCAACAGTCACAGCAACATTCCACACGCAAACAGTCAGCAACCAACAGTCCAGCAACCAACAGTTCCAGCAACCAACAGTCATAGCAACCAACAGTCCCAGCAACCAACAGTCCAGCAACCAACAGTCCCAGCAACCAACAGCTAGCAAAACGGTCCTAGCAACCAACAGTTATAGCAACCAACGGTCCTAGCAACCAGCAGTTATCAGCAACCAGCGGTCTAGCAACCAACAGTCCAGCACCAACAGTCACAGCCACAGTCTGGCACCAACAGTCCAGCAACCAACAGTCAGCAGCCAACAGTCATAGCAACCAACAGTCATGCAACCAACAGTCCCAGCAAGCCAACGGTCCCAGCAACCAACAGTCCCGGCAACCAACAGTCCCAGCAACCAACAGTCATAGCAACCAACAGTCATGCAGCCAACAGTCCTGGCAACCAACGGTCATAGCAACCAACGGTCCCAGCAACCAACAGTCCAGCAGCCAGCAGTCCCAGCAACTAACAGTCAGCAACCAGCAGGTCCAGCAACCAACAGACCATGTACCATGTCCAGCAACCAACAGTCCCAGCAACCAACAGTCATAGCAACCAGTCCAGCAACCAACAGTCAGCAACCAACAGTCACAGCAACCAGCAGTCATAGCGCCAACAGTCGTAGCAACCAACAGTCACAGCAACAACAGTCCCTGGCAACCCAGCAGTCATAGCAACCAACAGTCCTAGCAACCAGCGGTCCCAGCAGCCAGCACAGTCCTGCAACCAACGGTCCTAGCAACAACGGTCAGCAACCAACAGTCCGCAGCCCAGCAGTCCAGCAACCACAGTCCAACTTCCCAACAGTCGCAGCAACCAACAGTCATAGCAACCAACAGTCCTAACAGCCAACAGTTAGCAACCAACAGTCCCAGCAACCAACAGTCCCAGCAGCAAACAGTCCCAGCAACCAACAGTCCCAGCAACCAACAGTCCCAGCAACCAACGTCCCAGCAACAAACAGTCCCAGCTACCAACAGACACTGGCAACCACAGTCCAGCAACGTCCCAGCAACCAGCAGTCATAGCAACCAACAGTCCCAGCAACCATGGTCCCAGCAACCAACAGTCATAGCAACCAACAGTCCCAGCAACCAACAGTCCCAGCAACCAACAGTAGCAACCAGCAGTCATAGCAACCAACAGTCCTAGCAACCAGCAGTTATAGCAACAACAGTCCTAGCCAACGTTCCCAGCAACCAACAGTCCTGGCAACCAACAGTCCTAGCAAATGGTCCAGCAACCAACAGTCCGCAACCAACAGTCCCAGCAACCAACAGTCCAGCAACCAACAGTCCCGCAACCAACAGTCATTGGCAACCAACAGTCCCAGCAAAAGGCGATCCAGCAGCCTTTCAGCAACCAACAGTCCCAGCAACCAACAGTCCCAGCAACCCACAAGTCATAGCAACCAACAGTCCTAGCAACCAACAGTCTGCAACCAGCAGTCCCAGCAACCAACAGTCAGCAGCCAAAAGTCAGCAGCAACGTTCAGCAACCAACAGTCCGCTGGCAACAGACTTAGCCAACAGTCCCAGCAACCAGCAGTCCCAGCAACCAACAGTCATAGCAACCAACAGTCCAGCAACAGTCCCAGCAACCAACAGTCATAGCAGCCAAGCAGTCCTGGCAACCAGCAGTCACAGCAACCAACAGTCATAGCAACCAACAGTCTGGCAACCAACAGTCGCAGCAACCAACAGTCCTAGCAACCAACAGTCACAGCAACCAACAGTCTGTAGCCCAGCAGTCCTGCAAGCAAATTCAGCAGCCAACAGTCCCAGCAACCAGCAGTCCCAGCAACCAACAGTCCAGCAACCAACAGTCGCTGGCAACCAACAGTCATAGCAACAGTCCTAACAACCAGCAGTCATAGCAACCAACAGTCCCAGCCAACAGTCCAGCAAATAACAGTCAGCAGCAGCGATCCCAGCAACCAACAGTCCCAGCAACCATCAGTCAGCAACAAACAGTCCCAGCTACCAACAGACATAGCAACCAACAGTCCGGCAACCAACAGTCCAGCAACCAACAGTCATAGCAACCAACAGTCAGCAACCAACAGTCCTAGCAACCTAACAGTCATAGCAACCAACAGTCATAGCAACAGTCACTAGCCAACAGTCGCAGCAACCAACAGTCACTAGCAACCAGCAGTCGCAACCTACAGTCCTAGCAACCAACAGTCAGCAACCAACAGTCATAGCAACCAACGGTCCAACTAACAGTCCCAGCAACCAACAGTCCCAGCAACCAACAGTCCCAGCAACCAACAGTCCCTGGCAGCCAACAGTCAGCAACCAACAGTCCCAGCAACAACAGTCCAGCAACCAACAGTCAGCACCAACAGTCATAGCAACCAACAGTCCCAGCAACCAGCAGTCCCAGCAACCAACAGTTCGCAATAACAGTCCAGCAACCAACAGTCCCAGCAGCCAACAGTCCCAGCAACCAACGGTCAGCAACAACAGTCATAGCCAACAGTCCAGCAACCAAGGTCCCAGCAACCAACGGAGTGTCAGCAACCACTGTCAGCAACCAACAGTCATAGCAACCAACAGTCCCAGCAACCACAGGTCCCAGCAACCAACAGTCAGCAACCAACAGTCCCAGCAACCAACAGTCCTAGCAACCAACAGTCCCAGCAACCAACAGTCCCAGCAACCAACAGTCAGCAGCCAACAGTCCAGCAACCAACAGTCCCAGCAACAGCAGTCCAGCACCCAGCAGTCCCAACACCTTGGTCCCAGCACCCAGCAGCCCCAGCACCCAGCAGTCCCAGCGCAGCAGTCCCAGCAACCAACAGTCCCAGCAACCAACAGTCCCTAGCAACCAACAGTCCCAGCACCCAGCAGTCCCAATACCCAGCAGTCCCAGCACCCAGCAGCAGCACAACAGTCCCAGCAACCCAACAGTCCCAGCAACCAACAGTCCCAGCAACCAGCACCCAGCAGTCCCAGCACCCAGCAGTCCCAGCACCCAGCAGTCACAGCACCCAGCAATCTCAGCACCCAGCAGTCACAGCACCTTAATATATTAATCAATACAAGGGTCAATATTTGTGTAATTCAATAATGTCCTGGTTGTTACTCTCTTGCAAGTTCAGTTAGTGTGATTGAGTTCTGATTGTCTAAGGAGTAGTTCTGATTGTTTGAGTTCTGATTGTCTAAGGGAATATTTCTGATGTTCGAATTTAGTTTGATAGTCTGAGGTAATTCTGAGTTGAGTTTATTTAATTTTATAATTCAGTTCTGATTGTCCGATTTAGCGCTCAGATTGTCTTGAAGTAGTTCTGATTTTAAACAGTGTTTGATTGTGTGATTGAGCACCTATGATTGTCTAAGGGAGTATTTCGTTTCTGAGAGAATAGTTTTGGTGTCTGGTCGCGTAATTAGATCTGATTGTCATTACCCAAGAATAGCTCTGATTGGCTCAAATATATATAACCACCTTAAATGAGTAGCTTCGATTAGTATTTTGACAATCAGTGTGACTTATCCTTTGCCTCTAGTATTTGGCTAATCAGAATGGGAGAAATGGTATGGGAGGGAGAGGTATTACCTCTCTCTCTCTCTCTCTCTCTCTCTCTCTCTCTCTCTCTCTCTCGTATAACGATAACTAGAGAGTGTTGTGTATGTATATATATATCTATGTACGTTAAGTATATCTATGTATCAGATATATACTATATACACTTTGAGAACTCTATAGTGATCAGACACAGAGCAGACAGACAGACAGACAGACAGACAGACAGACAGACAGGCAAATTGGAAACAAAAACACAGGAGAGAAAGTGACGGACAAACAACACAGAAAGAAAGAAAAGAAAGTAGAGAAAATGGAAAGAAATAGAGAAAGAAGAGAAATATATAGAAAGAAAGAGAGATAGAGTGAAAAGGAAGAAAGAAGGGAAAGAAATAGATGAGAAAAGAAAAGAAATGAGATACAGAGAAAAAGAAAAGAAATAGATAAAGAAAGAGAAAGAAGAACAAAGAAATATATAAAAAGAAAGAAGACAAAGAGATAGAGATGAAGAAAGACAAAGAGAGATAGATGAAGAGAAATGTAGAGAGAAAATGGAAATAGAGAGAAAAAGGAAATAAATAGAGAAAAAGAAAGAAGAATTGATGAGAGAAAGAGAAAGAGAGATAGAGAGAAAAAGAAAAATAGAGAGAAAAGAGAGAAAAGAGATAGAGAGAGAAAAGAAAGAGAAAAAGCAAGAAATAGATAGAGAGAGAAATAGAAAAAGTAGAGAAAAGAAAGATATAGATGAAGGGAGAGGCAGAGAGAGACCAAATACCACCCTTACAACTCACCTCAACTAAGCCTTCACTATATATTAAAACCAGGCTATATTGCTCAAGTTTATTATATAATACAATAAATATACTTAACCATGTATACTTAACAACAGTTATGTATGTAACTTATGTATGTAATACATATTCAAACAACGTGTATTATTAAATCGCTGGAGTAAGGGTGTGTGTGTGTGTGTGTGTGTGTGTGTGTGTGTGTGTGTGTGTGTGTGTGTGTGTGCACACAGGCTAGTGTAATGCATTTAGTGTGGCAGCATTATGTTATGATTAGTGTTTGATTACAGCACTGCTTGCTTTCTCTCCTTTCAGCTACCGCTGCTGGCTTGCCCTCTTGGTGAACAGGGAAGCAACCTTGCATAAGTCTTCCCCTGCCAGTTCACAGCTTCTTCATATCAAGACTCTTGGCGTGCCTCGTGGCAACACACGGTAATTGGATGTCACAGCCCCAAGGCTAGACCAGCAGGGGATCTTCAGGTAGCAGTGGGCCCCAGAGGGACTTAGACCCACCAGGAAGTGGACACGCCTGAATGCCTCCACCCACTTCTCGATGTCTTGCAGATTAAACTAGGCAGGTATAAAGGCTGCAGGAGTAAACCCCAAAAGAAAATCTGTGGTGAAGCCCACTTCAGGCAGACATACTTACAGAGCTCCAGCAACACGACAATGTTTTCTAAATAAACAGAAGGGGTGTCCTTGGGAACCCAACTGCTAGACCGGCAAGATGAAGGCAATGCAGGATGTGCGACTGCAGGCGAAACCCCGAAACTGGGCTATCGGTAGTCTATTGCAACTATACCTCTCCACATTATAGCCTGCTGCACTGCGTAGGAAAATGGAGAAGCCAATATGTGTGCTCCGGCCTCACCACATACCTCGTAAATCAACTTCACACACGCAGCAGCCATCATCCAGCTCATCATACCTCTCATCGTCACCGAACTACTTGCACAAGGGTCTGTATGGCGGGTGGCGACGAGGACGGGCAGAGATGGGTGTTGGGGAGACTGAGCACCGGCTGGACAGCATGGATAGGTGATCGTTTACTGGGTTCAGGCGCGTGGTGCAATTTCGGTCCTGTATGTTTGCTGAGTATTGCTTTTGAGGACCCTCTGCTCAGAGCGCATTATATGCCCTGCCTGAATAAACCGTTTGAATTGAGGCAACTGCGCATTGAGAGTCATGTTATGTGGGTTAAAAAATCATGTCACAGTTATATGAAATCGAACTAAACAACCTCTTTTGGTCGCTTTATTAATGTCTGGGACCCTTCTGGTTACTGTCACGTGCACGCGTCCTGAAAGAATTTAAAGCCATTGTGGCAGGAAGGCTGTCTAGGTACAACATCGACATTGCGCATTGTTGGTCTTGGCTCCAAGATGAGGATCGACTCTCTGAGAATGAGTCTCGTATACCTTCTTCCGGAAGGGTTTACTGGCAAAAGCCGCATTTGTAGGTTGGCACCCATCAATCCATCCCATAGGATAATGAAATGCTTTTTGGGATTTTCTCTTGATTCTCAAGTCCCACGAAGTACTCACGTCATGCCTTCTTCAGTGTATTACTATGCACTATATGTCAGGGTGACATCGAGGGCCTTTTGCATGTGTACTGTAACACTATCCAGGAGAAATAAAGGGAGACTTCAATGCAGAGATGGGAAGAGATGTGGACGTATATGGCGGGAGGATATAATGGGGAAATGGATGAATCATTAGGTCTTTCCTCTCAGCAAGTTTGATATTTCTTTTTAACCTCTATATCATAAATACCTTGGCAGGCCGACAAGCTCAAGGGTTCGTGACAACACCACGATACAAACTGTCTCATTGACTACATCATTGTCTGAAAAGAGATCTGAGAGATGTCCTCATCCCAGGCCGTGAAACCAGACACTGTTTTGATCATCGACTGTCGGGGCCAAACTCTAACTTCGCGCCCAAAAACGTTAAGGCAAATGTGCTCAGAAAAGTTTAACACTAAGCGTCTGGAAAATCTGAGGTAGCACATGCTTTCGAGACATGGCTCGAACATGGGCTGATAAACAAAAACAAACAACCCAAAACAAACAACCCAAAACAAACAACCCAGTGCGGTGCCGGATGGGTATTTTCGACACTGTCATGACAAAACCTGCAGAGAATCTCGGCCGGTCGAAAAATACAGAACTGGTTTGATGAAATGACCGGAAATCAACGTATTCGTCGGTGATAAACGTTCTGCTTTAACTGATTGCCAGAATAGCCCTCAGTCTTATGTCGGCTGGTGACGCTTCCACAGAAGAAAGCATAGCCCAGCGGAATTCAAATCTAAAGAGATTGTTTGAAAAAGCATGTGTTTGAATTTTAAAAACTTTTAAATCAATCACAAGATGCGCGATTTTTAATTCCACTGAAGAAACATTTGGGCCGTCACTGGTGGGTGCAGCTCCTCCGTCATCGACGGTAACCTCAATTAAGACGGAGGAAGGCATCCTTCAGCGTGCAAAGAGCTCCACCATTCGCTGCTCAACCGAAACACCGATGTCGATGTCCTGATTACCCAGCAGGTCCCTCAGCAACCAGAGCTGACCCACCTGAGCTATCCTCCATCCTGGATAAGGTAACTACTGCCATCAAGCAAATGAAAAATAACAAAGCCTCGGGGCCTGATCCCAGCCGATGTATGTGAAGTCATCTCCATATCCTGGAGAATATATGGGAAAAGAATGGACTATTCCAAGCTTAACGACGCCTCTATCATCTATGTTGTAAGAACAAGGAGACTGTGAAGACTGTGGCGGCTACCGCTGGATCTGCTGTCATGAGCTGGCAGATTACCGCCCGGTTTCTTCATGGGGATTTCTTCCTGGGGCGAAACTTCCTATATGTCAATGTGGCTTGAGCCACCATGTGTTTCCACTGCCGCCAGATGCAGTAAAAAGCAGAGAAGTGTTTTTGACCTGTGCATGGCGTATTAACCTTACCATGGCCTTCGACTCGTGGTCAGCAGGGAAGCCCACAAAATTCATGTATAGTGAGACAAATCCATTGTGTTTTCAACAACATTCTTTTTCTATCTTGGCTGCCTTCCTTAATCGTGCCAGTTGAATTTAGCTAGCGGGTGGACCTTCAATACTGGATGATGAGGACTTTTCAACTTATAAGACGACAGGCTGGAGCAAAGGTGTCGGTAGCTCCATTACTGATCTTCGTGCAGGGCATCTTCGTCGTCGCTCACACTGGGCTGCTGACTTACAGAGACCTGAACATCTACACAGATGCGTATGCACACTGCAGCCTTGGGGTGGTGTACATGAGCCTTGGATTATCATTCAGCCTGTCCTAGGTTAAGCCACACCCCACCAGCCATCGTATCGGCTCCCACCTGTCCACCATTGCGGATGTCGATGAAGAAATTCAACATCGGATGTGCATCTCAAGCCTATGGAAGACTCTCTGGTGAGCTGAAAGTGTTCTCTAAATTTGTGCGTCAACAAGCAGTGGTCCTCATCGCTCTTGTTAGATGGCA